TTTTTCACCTTCTCTGTATATTTAAATAATTTAAAAAATATAATTTTGGACTTGAGTCTGAATGGATCAAATATAAACACTCAATTATCTGAATTTGTCAGATAAAGAGCAAACCTGTTATTAAAATGCTACCACTTCCAACATTTAAGCGTTGCTTTTCTTTTTAACTGTTTCTTATTTCTACTTATAAGTGAAACAGAAAATGAAATAGCATCAGAACCTCCTAAACATTGTCTCAAAGATCAAGAATTCCTCATGAATGGCAAACTTTTTCTAGGTCACATCATTATATTCCCAATTTCTTTCTTCAATTAGTACAGTATATTTTGTTTAGCTTCTTTCTATTTCTACCTAAATGAAGTGATACAGTCGACACATGTAATGCTGTGTGTTTCTGTGTTTTTTTTTAAGAAAGTGACAAAACTCTACTTCATAAAAGCTGTATTAAAATACTTATGAAATTTCTGTCGGGTGTACTTAGTTTGTGGAAAATATTATCTTTAAAACTTTGATAAAATTTTCACACATTAAGCCACAAAGCCACGTCAAGGCGACACCCATTTTGTGGTAGTTTTTTGTTCTCCAAAAACTGACCCTGATTGCTCGACAGAATAACAATCTGGGAATAGAACTGGATATTCGTTGATATTCCATTAATTCAGTAACCTAAAATTGATGACAAAACACAAAATTTTTAAGTCAAATATTTCTATTAAGTAAAGGGCATTTTCAATCCAGATTTGTCAATTCAAAATAAAAATAGCAACAAATAAAATAATAAAAAATATATTGTATATTAAAATACATAATTGAAAATATATACTAGAAAATTATCATTATTTTGTAGCACACAGAATGGTACTCACATGCTAGTGCACGAGTTGAAAGGCACCTAGCATGTGATGCATGAGCTGATGTACAGTACTGTATATAAAAAGATGGCTGGCCAGCATCAATGAACGCCGCTGTCGGCTGTGGTCGAATACGGCTATGCCTATTGGTGGCTCTCCGCCCACGAGGAGGGCCACTGCACCTGACAGCACTGAGTGCAGTCGGCAAAGTAGTTGTGTCTATTATGGCAGCTTATTCGACGTGATAAGCCCTTATGATTATAGCTGTAAATAATAGGTTAACAGTTTAATTTATTGCTAACATTACGACTATAAGTGTATTTTATTTAATTATTAATATGCATAATATATATATCAATGAAATAACTTATCTGTAGTATGAAATCGTTTAAATATATTAGGTGTAGCTAGAAAATAACGAGACTGAAGCTTGAACTTTAAATCTTGAGTAGTATATTCTAGTTGTGTTCCCCTTCAATGTATGATCCTTCTGCTTCAACACAGCACTGCATTTGCAACTTCCACTTGACAGTGCTTGATCTTGACAGTGCTGCAGGTCATCATCTGTAAGACCCAGCTCCGTCGTTTTTTCTTGACAGCAGAAAACAAATCAAAATGGTGTCCCTTCAGAGCAGACTTGACTTTAAGGAAAAGGTAAAAGTCATACACAGCTAGATCTGACAAGTACGGTGGGCGTTGAAGTAGTGTGACTCCCTTCTTGGCCAAAAATTGTTTCACTGACAGAGTGGAATGGGCTAGTGCATTGTCCTGAAGGAGGATGAAACATTTTGCAACAAGTGTCATTGCTTTCTTCTGGCCCTTTCCTGAAAAGATTCCAGAACTTCTTTGTAGTAGTATTGGTTCACAATTTGTTTCATTTTTTGCATGCTTTCCTCAGTTTTTGATATCCTGGGCCGTTCAGAAAGTTCATCGTCTTTCACATCCTCTCGGTCCTCAGAAAATCTCCTGTGCCATTCAAACACACGTGCATGAGAAAGATGTGCATCTCTGTATGCTTCATGTAGCAGGTGCAAAGATTCAATGGCAGTTTTTTCAATTTTGCCAAAAACTTCAGGGTTGATACATTGCTTCTGTTTCAAGCTGGCCATATTTCCAAAGCGCGCTGACAACAAGTCCACTCGCAGCAGGCACTTACAGCAATCTTGCTGCGAGTGGACTTGTCTAATAGCGTTAGCAAGTTGGGACTTGCTGCACTTGTTCTAACTTGTTCAAGGTTGTTTAGCCACCCGCTCACTTCAGCCTACATGCGACTGTTGCATGCAGGCAATCAGTCTCGTTACTTTCTAGCCACACCACATATATGTAATATAATATACAGTACTGTATAATCATATATATAAAATTTTTATATTTAATTCTAATTAATTCCAATTTCTATTTCTAATTCTATTTAATTAATTCTAATATAATTAACAATTATATTTATATTTGATGATAATACTTTATATATATATTTATATTACATATATACGAATAAACAATTAAAAATCCCTTATTCTTGTTGAATGTTTGTTTCTTATAATAAATAGTGTGTTTGTTTTTTCCTCTTCCATCCATCATTTTGCAATTTCTCGTCCTTATGTTATTTCTTCCAAAACTATGAAAAATTTCAGTGTTTTTCTTCGAAGTTGCAAGAGGACAATGACATCTTGATTCAAACAAAGAACAATAAAATTTGAATTGTTGATTCGTTAACAATTACCAAAAATCTCGTTGCATAATTATTGTAGTGAATGACGTCACATTACTTATAAAATTTGATATAGTTTAATTTTAATAGTTTACTTGAATATTAAAGAATTCTTAAGATTCGCATCTAATATATAATCGAGACGGGTTAATGATAATAATAATAATAATAAGCGCAGAGCCCAAACGGTTAGGAGTTGAAAGTTGAAATTTGGTACACAGATAGGGTACGTCACGAAAACGCACACTAAGAAGGGATTTTTCGAAATTCCCCCCCGGGGGGAGAGAGACAGGATTAAAACTTCTATATACATTATGGATACGAGCCCAAACGGTTAGGAGTTGAAAGTTGAAATTTGGTACACAGTTAGGGTACGTTAGGAGAACGCACACTAAGAAGGGA